ATACTTTTAGCCCGGTGGTGAAGCCTGCCACGGTTCGCTTGGTTTTGTCTCTTGCTGTGTCTCGTGGCTGGAGCCTTCGACAGATTGATGTGAGCAATGCCTTTTTACATGGGTTCTTGGCCGAAGATGTGTACATGCAGCAGCCACCTGGGTTCGAGGATGCCACTTATCCCTCTCATGTCTGCAAACTTCAACGGTCTATTTATGGTCTCAAGCAGTCACCCCGTGCCTGGTATGCTCGTTTGAGTCGGCGCCTTTCGCAACTCGATTTTGTTGCCTCCAGATCAGATGCATCTCTGTTCATCTTCTCCCAGGGTACTATACAGATATACATGCTGGTGTACGTTGATGATATTGTGATTGCTGGCTCTACCCCCGCCGTGGTGGATCGTCTTGTGCAGTTGTTGTCTGCTAGCTTTCCCATCAAAGATTTGGGTCGCCTCGAGTACTTTCTTGGTTTGGAAGCGTCCTTTCATTCAGGGGGCATGACCTTGACGCAGAAAAAGTATGCTTTAGATCTTCTTCATCGCGTCAACATGGAGAACTGCAAGGCCACTTCCACTCCGCTTGCTACATCTGAGAGTCTCTCACGTCATAGTGGTGCACTACTGGGTAGAGATGACTCCTTTCGGCATCGCAGTGTGGTTGGGGCACTTCAGTATTTGACCCTCACTCGTCCTGATATCTCCTTCGCAGTGAACAAAGTGTGTCAGTTCCTGTCTCAGCCAACGGTGGATCATTGGGAAGCAGTCAAGCGTATTCTGAGATATGTCAAAGGTACGCTAGACATGGGACTACGGATTCATAAGTCCAGATTCATTGGAGTGAGTATATTCACCGATGCAGACTGGGCAGGCTGTGTTGATGATAGGCGCTCCACTGGTGGTTTTGCTATATTTGTTGGACCTAACCTTGTATCTTGGAGCTCGAAGAAGCAACCCACAGTCTCGAGATCAAGCACCGAGGCAGAGTATAAGGCATTAGCCAATGGCGCGGCTGAAGCCATTTGGATAGACTCGGTTCTCACAGAACTTGGAGTCCCACAGCAGCGCACTCCTATATTGTGGTGTGATAACTTAGGGGCAACTTACCTGACAGCGAATCCAGTGTTTCATGCTCGGACCAAACACATTGAGATTGATTTCCACTTTGTGAGAGAACGAGTAGCTGCTTGTGAACTGGAAGTCAGGTTTATTTCTACAGATGATCAGTTAGCGGATGTATTTACTAAACCCGCTACTAGACAGATGCTAGACCGTTTTAGAACCAATCTGAATCTTGTATGTAGTTCGGATTGAGGGGGCATGTAAAGTACGGTCTAGTATATTGTCCTTGTACACATATTTGTATACGTATGTAATTGTAATTGTGATCCTCTATATATTGAGACGTGAGGCTGGATGTCAACCACCCACGCAAAACCCTAAACCCTGTGTTTCAACTATTGGGCCATCGAATCTTCCGGCCAGGAGCCACAACCCAGCTCACATGAATGCCCCGAGGTTCATTTTGAAGTAGCGGCCCTTTTCGTTTGGGGAGTGTTTAGGCTGTATCGTTTCCCCCTCTGTGGATCTGTTACTCAGTTGAGCCTGGTTGAGTGAATACAGGGTAAACACCATGTTCTGCATGTAGTTTGGTAGGTTGCATATAGGCTAACTACATTAGGGAAACAATTTTTCCTGGCGTTTGGTGGTCTGCGTTGGCTAGGCTAATGCAGTACACGGTGTTTGATTGCATACACTAGGCATAATTAAGAGTTAACAGCCACACATGACACATATAGTTACGATACAATGCGTCAGTGACTAGGGTGAATAGTGGCCATGGCCCCGCGTCTGACGCGATGAGCATGAAGTTGCATGCGAGCAATCCTGTCGGTGGCGTGGTGAACCAGTTTCTTGCGTCGTTGCCGCATGGGAAGTCCGCGAGAAAGGATGAGGAAGAGGGCGTCGAGGCAGAGCACGGGGAGGAAAAGTGCAGTGTGCATGCGATGTCGGTGTCAGTGTAGTAGGTCGCGGGCGACGATGTCGAGAGGAACGATGCCGCTGGCAGCATGGGGAATGGCATGACATCCATGCGGCAAGGTTGACGATGATCAGTGAGAAAAAAAATTCTGAACTTTTTCTGGACCATCACACGAACATCTTAATACAGTACAATAGAGAGATACACATGTAATCATCTACGACTGTAGAAACAAAAAAATACAGTAGAAACATGAAACGAAACTACTAGTCAAAGGAAGTTTCAAACAGTTGACCGTGCGCGCCGAGTTTGACAAAAAATGTCCAGAATAGCTGGAAACATGAACTTAAACATTTACCGTCAACAAATTTACAAACCGGTGGTCTGAATGGAATAACAACGTCGATATGTATCTTTTTCGTGTACAACTTATCTTGAATCGAAGCACCGTAGTTTAGATTAGAAGGGACTAGATGAAGGAGATTAAAAAGTGTCATTAAAAATACCACACCTATGATTTAAATCTACTCGTTTACGATCTTTGAGACAGAAAACGTGCAACACTAAAGTCGTGGGAAACAACGAGATAAACCTGCCGTACAAAGGAAATTTCGAACAGTCCACCGTGCATGATAAATTTGACAAAATTCATCCAAAATAACTTTAAATGAACACAAATTGAACATTTATAGTGAACGAAACTACTAATCGATCGTGTGAATGAGACCACAACGTCGAGGTGCATCTTTTTCGTGTAGACTTTATCTTGAATCGAAGCACTCTTGTGTAGATTAAAATTGACTAATAAATGGAGAAGATTAGAAGTTAACACAACGCATCACCTGCAACCTCACTTCCACCATTTATCACGCCTTCATTAGGTTGCATCGTCGAGTCACCCAGGTCTGCAGTTTTACATCGCTCGAGTCAGGTCGAATCAAGAGTTCCTAGTGGGCCAGACTGAAGGTGCTTTAAACATCATTGCCTATTCAGGCTGCAGGTGAGAGTATAAGTGGGCATCCCACCTTTAGCCCATTTAATCCCAGTACTTTTGGTGGATGTAATTGGGCATTCCGCCAGATCGTACACAAATTATGTGGGACAAGTTGGATCCCACCTAGCACACTTGATTTGCACAGGGACTTCACAGTTGAGTATTCAACGTCGTCATTGGCACCATCGTTCTTGCTCGGCCGCTCCTACAACCGCCGCAACTACCACCACGGCAACGACGGCCACCACCATCACCACCAGCAGAAGTATTACAACGGCCGGTATGCCCCTCCGCCATCTCCAGCCATGCTGACGCGGACGTCGTCCGTGATGGAGCACGGCCTCTCCGCTGCCCACAACATCAACGACGAGGAAAGCGGCAAGCAACAGTACAACAGCAGCCGGTCTGAGCCGACCGTGGGGAAGCCGGCGATCAAGACGGGCAACGATGCGGAGAAGGCGGCCAGAGAGAAGGTGGCGAAGAAGCCGATCACGGAGGTGAGGAGGTTGGAGCGCGCCTCGGTGACGGCGCCGGTGCGGCTGGTGTAGCGCGGCGAGGGCTCCTGCAGCTCGCGGTGTTGACACCGACAATGAAGGAGGTTGCAGGCGCCGGATACCGCCGCAGGCATGTGCGTGGACGAGAGGGCGGCGACTTCATCAGCAATGTCCGACAGCATGTACAGCTGCGGAGGCTCAACTTGCTGCTCACTACAGGGAGATGCTCAACACGCGGAGCAGATGTAGATCAGCGTGTGGTTCATTTAGCTAGTGGTCTCGCTGTTTGTTCACTGGATTAGATAGAGCAGCAGAAGTTGTGAGGCGGGGGAGGGACTACATGCAAGGAGGACTAGGCGGTGGCCGCGCGCATCGAGCAGCGGCGCCGGTGCGAGTGTGCCAGCACCGCGGCAGCTCATCTTTTCACCAGAGAAACCTGACGAGGGAAGTGGCTGGTGGGTAAGATGGGGTCCCAATGAGTTAATAGGGCTAGCCCACTTAACTTTTTTCTTGCCCAATGAAAATCCACTAAGACCGTTGTGATGGGAGACGAGAGGCCCTTTGATGCACTTCTCCAGTGTTCGCGACTGCCCAGATCGCTCCAGGCACTATGTACGGTCGTCGCTGGTTTATCCAAGGAAGCTGGAGTTGCTGTTCTTCAGAGATGACCGGTGTTGGTCGAGACGCGGCGTGGTTTGCGGTTTTGAGTAGGCTCTTTGGCGTCGTAGTTGTGTGTGTGTGTGTGTGTGTTGTCTGTGGTGTTGCTACGCTCGTTGTTCGCAGTGAGTGATAGTTCTCGTTGTATGTTTGTTCTTCTCTCCTTCTATAAAGCTAAAGTACGCAATTTACGTACTTTCAAAAAGAAAAAGAAAAAGGAAATCCACTAAGGCATTTTAAGTGGGTTGGGCTGGTTAGTCCCATTTAATTCCACTCCCCCACCTGCAGCCTGATTGCCTACACATCCAAATGCATGATTTTTGCATCATGCGGTCTGGTTGGACCTCATGGGGTCTACCAAACATGCTTTTGACATAACGGACATGCGATCAGTCAGGTATGCAAGTGTATCTAATCCGACGGCAAAGGACGTCAAAGCGCTGCGGAAGGGCGTAGCTGAGTTTTACTGTTTCGTGATGGAGCATGACAATGTTTTTTATTTTATTTCAAGAAAAGCAAGGAACGTGAAGGTAAAAAATATATTTGCTCGGTCAAAATCACACGGCTAAAAATATTACAAAGCAGTTCCATAGGAATCGCAGATGAGATTACCCGGGACCGGCTTGTAAATGTTAGGAACGACATGTCCATACCGTTGTCAGCATAAGCAGTATCGCCCGTACATTGGAGCCGTCTCCAAGGCCATGACCGGAACCATGGCGTCACACTCTCCCTCCATCTTATCGACTTTCAAGCACCGAGTTCGTTAGTCGTTACACTATAAAAAGGAGGCATGAGCTTCTCTCCACCACAGCACCACCAAAGCAGAGCATAAACAAGCACATATCCGCTTAGCTTATCCTTCGCGCCGGCAGCATCTGCATCTGCAAATGGCCAACCACGGAGTCGCCGCTCTCCTGATCGCGTCCCTTCTCGTGGTGGCGGTCACCCTCACCGACGCCAGGATCACCGTGAACGTGCAGCGCGACAGCATTAAAGGAAGTACGTCCATGTCAACGAATCAACATCATCCAGTTGATCTGCATGTGTAGTACAGTAGCAGTGGCTAAATGTGCCTGTACGTTTCGCAGGTTATGCGGCGAACAAGAAGGCGGTGCCGGCGCTGACGTGCAACAAGGTGAGCGCGGTGCAACAGGGCGAGACTTGCTCCTCACTCGCGGAGGACGCCGGGCTGACCCAGGAGGACTTCCTGGGCTTCAACCCCAACATCAACTGCGTCAGGATCTTCGTCGGCCAGTGGGTCTGCCTCGACCCATCCTCTGCCTAACACACGGCTGCATGGACTACGCACGCAGCATCGCTATTTGCTGCTACTACTATGAATAAAGGAGGCTGGTCGCTATCCGTACACCTCCACCACTACTCAAGTTAAGTTTGGTATTTGCACTTCCCTCGCAAAAGGATCGAGGTTGTAGTCCGTCAGTCTGTCTTTGTACCAGCTTCGGCTTAAAAATAGGCCCAGCTGGTCGTGCTTGATTACCAGTGCGTTTACCTTGTGTGTCTCTTTCCTTGATTGTGCCCGATTACCAGTGCATTACTTTGTGTCTCGCTTTCCGTAGTTTGGTCCGTGTGTCGCGTCTTTGGCACGGAGGACACAATATGACCATTTCGCTTCTTCACTATCTCCAACAGGAAGAATGTCCTTCCCCTTGTTCTTTACCGTCTTTAATACTACTACTAGCAAAAGGCTCGTGCTTTGCAACGGAAAGAAAAAAAATATCATAATCTCCAATGGCCATGAATATATTTTGTTGCATCACCGACATACACTATCACTCTTAATTTCGTGAAATCATCAACATTTTTCTTAAACTCGTCAACATATCTGAAATCATGAAAAATTTCAAATTCATGAACACTTTTACAAAATTTTGAACATTTTCTAAAATTAAGAACATTTTTTGAATTCATGAACATTTTTTGAATTCATGAACATTTTATACTATTTGTAAACATTTTTTTAAAATTGTGAACAAGTATTTAACAATTTTCCTGAATCCGCGAACATTTCTAGAATGGAGGAACATTCTTTTGATACTTGATGGAACAATTATTGAAATTCAAGAACATTTTGTAACAAACCCTTATTTGATTTGACGAACATTTTTTGAAATGCATGATCATTTTTGGAATCAGCGAAAATTTTATGAATGAGTAAACTATTTTGTAAGTCACGTACAGTTTTTAATACATGAAATTTTTAGAAAATCATGGACATTTTTTATTTTCTGAACAATTTTTTTCAAATTTCAAACATTTTTTGAATAAGCAATTATATTTTCATAAAATCGCGATCAATTTTTGAATCCACAAACATTTTATTATTTTTAAACATTTTATTTTGAAATTCACATTTATTTATTTTTAGGAACTTTTTTGAATTCCCAAATTATTTAAATAGAAAATAATAGTGGAAAATAAAAAGAAAATAATAATAAAACAAATTTTAAAAACAGGCCGCCCGGACATGGGCCAGCTCAAACGGGCACGCTGCATCCTCTCCGAGCATGCAGAGCACAATACAGTATAGGAGGTCCCTACTGCATGGGCCGGCCAGGCAGGAGATTCCTCTGTGTGAAACCCTTTTAATCACTCATTGATGGCATTGGTGGGTAATATTTCGCAATTTTGAGAGAAATTTCTGTGACGTACAACAAGAAGCAATAGCTAGTTTAATATTAGGTATAGATATGGCTAATCATTATTAATTTGTGATTTTGCAATTTTTAACATATGCTACATATGAATAGGATTATGCATTGGTTATTGAACTTTCGTAAATTGGGTATGTATATATGAGATATGAAATAAGTGTTTGCCTACTTTTAAATTCAAATCATGGAGGATTTCAAATTACACGGATTAAATTATTGAGAAAAAAACCCAGCTGTGCAGATCAATACGGTGCACATGCTTTGACAAACCAAAATGTCTTCGATCAACCTCTACCGGAAACACGTCTCGCAGATCACAACATGTGTGCTGAAGCCTACCCAAAGGTTCTGGCTTTTGGTTTGTGTTTTTTCCCGGCTCTGACCGAGATGGCTGAAATTCTCGGCTATTTCCAAAAATGAAGAAGCAAAATACATGGACCAAATAGTAAAATCAAAATTCAAATTTTGGAATAAAATTGGCCGACATTTGATTGAAATTTAAAATCAAGCGGGGAAAAGTTAGCGGTCCAACATAACCCGCAGGAGTACAAATATAATATTTTGTCTGAGGTAATACCTTGATGGGAAGTAAGCCACGTTTTTTTTTCTAATGAGGCCAAAAATATTTGGCTGAAAAAGATATACTCCAAGCCCGGACCAAATGGCCGAAATTAATTTTCTTGGTTGAAATTCAAAACTTTGCCATTACTGCACACACGTTTTGCCAGCACTAACGTGTGCGATGAACCATAAACAACACTCACATTTCTCTCTCGGCAAACGTGTGTGACCAACCCATA